CCCCCCCCTTACTTTGAAACACTATTACTGGAAGTAATAAGTGCGCCGCTGCCTTTGATCCCATGTCAAGACTCCAAAGTGAATTCAGATGGAAGCCAGAACTTGTGATGTGCCTTGCATGTGTGGTCACATGCTGCTAGCTGATCTCAGATATGCAATCACTTCCTTCTGTAACCTTGATTGCAGGATGGATTGTCCCATGTATCGCAATAGTAGCATCAGTACTATTTAAGGACTGGACAGAGATATGAGAAAGTGACTTCTTTAAAAAAAGAATGAAATGAAACTGTAAATGCAAAAAAATTAAGTTACTTGGAGACTAGTTTCCAAAATGTGGGCTGCAGGCCTCAGAGTCGAATGGACACTGTAGACTTGGGATGGGAAGGAAAGGAAATCAATATGATTATCACCGTAGGGGGAAAAGGCGTCTATACAAAGTCCTGTACATCCACAGGAGAATTCGTAGGGATTGAAACAGAAGAGGGTTGAAAAGCAGTGACTGAGAGTTTGGAACAGGCTGTCCACCCTGACAAAGGGAATCTGCTGCTTTCCTCTTCTTTGACACAATATGCATGGTTCAGCAATTTGGGCAGACAATTTGTTAACTAGTGAGCATGATGGAAAGACAAAATGCATTCATCCAAATGCCATTTGCCACATCATGCACAGCTACAGTAATGAGCTCTGTTGATTACAGAACAAGGCTTTAGAAAACCAGTGCCCCACAGAGTCTATTTTCTCCTGCTGACATCACATTTTTAAGCTGTTTTTTTTCTGTCTTTTGCCTCCAGTTATTTCAAGCTAAACTCTGCCCACACCTGCAAGCTGTATGGTTGCAACTGAAAGCAGATTTGGCCTTAGCCTTGTGCTTCTTTTGTTCTTAAAAATATAAAAAATTGTGACAAAAATGCAGAGTCCAGGCTTCCTTTTCTCTAAGCCAGCTTTTAAGATGTAACTTTTCATGGGCTGTGCTAAGATGAGAAAATGGGAGGCAGGTGCCAATGTGCTCTGTTTACAGAGCCTCTCATTGCTGAGGGTCTGAAAATACCTTACAAGTGCAGGACCTGCTCCTGTTCCCTCTACTGGGATATTTTAAGTACAATAAAGAGGTAAGAATCTTAGCAAATGGTCTGGAATAAGTGGTTTAATCTAAATCCTGTTAACAGCCATACAGCCATAAATTTTGGGATCCCGTAACTCTTCACCACTATCATTATATTCTTCTGTGCCTCTTTTTCCACAAACCTGCCCCAAGAGCAGCTGCTGAGCCAGCTAGCAATAATACACAGTATATGTAATAGGCAATGACTGCACCACAAAATGTATAATTTTGGAAATTTCTAGTCTATAGTAGCTGCCTTATTCCCTTACTTGCACAACTAGTGACAACAGCAGTACAGTCTCTGAGAAGTTACAACACCCGTGTTTCCTTTTCTCAAACTCCTCGCAGCAAGTCTTGGAAGTGCCAGGTCATATTCTGGTAAGCATTGCTACAAGTCAGCACACCAGGTCTACATTACTCTGTCCTTCCGGCCTTCATAAATTAACTGTGCTATTCCTAAAGGCAAGTCCTTGCAGTTCATTTAAACTTACAGTGCAGGTGTTAATTTGCTTAAATGAGCTGTAAGAGGTACCAGACACAGCTGGGATAATCATATAGGATCTTGGTCAAGACAGATCAATCATTTCAGTATAGACATACTGTGAACAGGGCTTAAGCCACTGCAACTGGCCATTTGGTTTAGCTGTAGTATCT